GTTGGCTTTGTCTCCGTTGAACACAGGGATTGACACTCTCTTCAGCTGTTTCCAAAAGTATTGGCCAATCTCCATCGCTGGCAACGTTTAGCCCTATAACAACTAATCAAGAATGTCCTGGAAAATCTAGAATATTCTATAAAACGTGCTTATAGTCATTTCGTCTGTCCAAGCGATGTATTCTGTGTGAATCAATTATAACAAAAATCCACTTCTCTGCGGTTTTGTAGGAACGCAAATGAAAACGAAACCGGTGGACAAGTCTAAATAGCAATGGCCTTTGTAATCGATGCTGTATTAAAATCTCTCGCTTTTTGCATTTGAAGTAAACCTTCTGTTATTTCAGTTTGCAACGAGAATAACAGTTGATTCAAAATAAGTGTTCATAACCCCTGATTTTGGTAAAAATTTCAAGGGCTTCATGGGMTTCATTAAGAAGTACGTGTTATGTTTTGGTGAGAGTTTACTTTCTTTGGAATATCAATGATCATTGATTTCATCAATTTCATCAATGTAAATCATAAATTAAACAAAGTTTTCGTCTTTGGGTAAACATTGCTACTGCAAGAAATGTGCTGTTAAATTGGCAAGCATTTGTTCCGTCAAGAATGCCAACTGTTTTCTCCAGATCCATTTGTAAATCCTCTGGCAAATGTCTTTCGTTCGCACTGAAGACGGAACTGGACACCTCACCAGTCATATGCACAACACTTCTATGGTGGCTCTCTAAATGTATGATTTCAACTTGGATTCCATCATGCTCTTGTGCCCACTGATTGTAATTAAATCYGGGATTATCAGCCACTTAATCCTCGCAAGGCGGGATTGTAACTGCAAATTTCTGGAAATTTTCGAGAAAATTGTTTAAACTGGCATGTTCGTTGGACTCAAAATGCCAGTAATTTTTAATTACTTCTATAAATAAGTTCATTTCCTGAGAACTATTTTCAGACGCTTGTGATAGAGAAGGTTTATTTACCATCTGGAACAAAAGTTGGAACCAAATCTAGTGACTGACACATCTTCACTCTGGAGATGCATACGTGATGGAACCAATCAACAATTCAATTAAGCACGCCACTAAACTTTATATTTCGCTTTGTTTTGATGTTTTAGCGCCAAGTTAATAATTTTAGGGGCGATAAATGGAAGAGTTCCAGCTAATCTCCTCTSATCTTGTTTGTTGTTCCCACTTGTGTTGACTGACGATGATGATGATGCCAAGGTTTTTATTTTTGTGAGCCTTATGGATTCTAGGAAGTCACCTAACTTAACGATAAAATTTGAAGACGTTCCGCCACCCAGAAAGAAATTGGCAGCTCTAAGGTCGGCATGAATCATATCATTTCGATGCAAGTACTCCATTCCTTTTGCACTATTCAACGCCATTCTTCTTCTTACTGCCAAGTCATAATCATCATCGGCGTTGTCCAGAAGTCCAARCACATCRTTTACGATAATCTGTTCCGAATCAATTGTAATGACTTTCTCGACATATTCCGTCACAATAGCGCAACGTAGGGGAAGGAATTCAAAAAATTTGAYCACATTAGAATGTTCTACGCACAACATAATTTTTCCTCTGCCTTTGTTTTACTATCGCGAACTGAAATATTCGGTAGGAACTGCTTTACTGCAACTTCAGAGGTTCTATAATTTTCAAAACATATTTTGTGCAAAAAGCACATCCGCAATTGTCACCTCTTTGGGGTCCAACTAACCAAAATTACCTTGTGCAATATCACCTCCAGCCAGAAATCAAGAGAGAGGCGCGCTCTGATTGGTCAATCTAAGGGAAAGGAATGTGTGGCTAGTTTGAGCAGACGTTTGTGGGGAGGGAAAGGAACGAGCCGACACTAAAAACGTCTGCACAGCAGGCTACAACCCGATGTATCCTTTGGGAAAAAAATTATATCTCATTAAATATTCAAGGGATGTCACTCAAACTGGAACCACAGTGTTGTCCAGACAGTGGGCAATACGTCGATCGAGTGCCGTCTTAGGGGATTTGCCTCACCCTCTAAGAATGACTTCGTATATAACATATCCACACAAGGCAATCCACATTGTGGCGCTTATTGCGYGTGCTTGCCGATCACGTGASCCCTCAAAACTATTACCGTTCGCTAGATCTTGTCCAGGGCTTTCAYGTAGGGGTAGTCTGGTGAAGATCAGACCACGGGATCYAGAGATATAAGTGTCACAAAGTCCCATGGTTTGACACCAACCCTAGGACTAGTCACCATACTGAAGTGTTGCTCTTTCTTCCAACGACCAGGAAAAATCAGTAATTTGCTCAATTGACGCGAGACTTCGTAAACCTCGAAAAAAATGGATAGACCTCTAACCACCGCAAATGTGGTGGWGATTAGAGTTTCGCAAAGGCAATTTTGAATTTTTGGAAGTGTTGTGCCCTATACTAAGAGTAAAGTCAAACCCACTTTGGACCGTAACTTTGTACAAGTCCACAAGCCGAATGGGCCATGGTTAGTGACCACCATTTCCACTATGTCTCACTTTTCCAAAAAAAAACTACCAACCAGGCGCCACGGCAGGTGACCACTACCACCTGGACTGSGTAGCTGAGTGCTTGGGCCACCTATCTGACTTGGTTTGAAGTCCGTGGATATTATTAGAAATATTTAATGGATTTTAAAAGATTTTGTATCCAGAGGAAAAATTCTCGAAAATGTTCGAATCGACTTTAGGTGATTATTGCTTTGGGTTGCCTTTTTTCTATCCTTTCTTTGCTTTTCCTTTCCWTGTCTTGTCTGCAARATAAGTTCACATTCGYCACACAGTTATTGGTCCCTGGAATAGCAGAYCATCGATTTACTAAGCTCGTAAACTCCACTGGAATAGTTTTGGTACTTTTTATTGTACCTCGGGCAAATTTCCTCGGAGATCTTCCCTCCTCCATACATTGCTTTCATTTCGTGGGCGACGTTAGATTGGTTGGAGCTTTCATCACCACCGTTGCTACTTGTGATTTTCGTCTTCGGGCATGGTTGCAAACTGAAATAGTGCAATTCTGCTTGATGCCCCAAAAGAATCATCCCCTCATTCTTCTTGATGACGGTGGAGACCACAGAGCTGTCAGTGTGTGGGTTTATGACCCGCAGCCCGGAACTACCAGTTGATGAGATTATGGCGATGTCAWTATTCAGCATATTGGCCATTGMCCACACCACAATCCAGTCAGCCCACTCACCATCTCTTTGCATTCGTTTCAAGTAAGAATTCCATCCATTATGCTTGATAAACTCGGAGAAGTGAGTGCCATCTGGCGTATTGGGATCTCGCAGATACTGAATTACGTTTTCTCTGAGTCTGGTATGCAACTGAGAAGCGAAATCAAGCCTGTTGAGTTGGTCACTTACGGCATGGAAAAAACAGTTTCCATCCATTGGAATTTCTCCTCGATAGCGGCATCCTGCTTCTTTCACTTGGCCGTCCAAAAGAGCCTTGGTATTCGCCTTACTGCAAGCTTCATTCGTTTCAAATACAYCTCGAGGGAAGCGGTAGTCGTCAGGYGGAGAAGATACTAGCTTCGGGAGATCAAGCAAGTCGTTGGCCATCTCATTACGCAAATCTTGAGTGTCATTAATTTGYATAACATGTTCRTTGCCAAAATTTGACTGACATGGTTTTTTGATAGCCAAGCGCATAAAGACTCCACAATCTGAGTCGTTAGTTTGTTTTGGTAAGCCTTGCACAATGATTTCCTTGAAGTTATTAGGATTTAGGATTCCCATTTGACCAAAGTCATCATTGCATTGGTTCTCCTTTGCGATGAACCTCGATTTCAGCTTTGAAAACACATCGGCATAATGTTTGGCGTTTAATTCCAAAGAGTCAAAGATAGTGATCGTAAGTTKAAGCATACAGATGATGGCCAGCAACCAGTGTTCTAATTCTTGAATGTGCACGGGAATCAGCAGTTTCTCAACGCAGTCATTTAACTTTTTGTTGGAGATGAATTTTCGATAAGGCACAGTTTTATCCTTTTCAGCAAGTCTATCTAACGATGGGTAAAAGAATGTGCTCGCTATAACAGTATCAGAACATGGAAAAGATTCATTGACATAGCTAGTGTATAGATTGATGGTCTCACCTGTCAGTTTGTTAACATTGGTGATCTTTGTTATTGCCTTGTCCAGAACACTTTCACTTCTATTAGAATGTTTTGCTTTTTTTACTGACCCATGGTTTTGAGACTTTCTTCTTTTATGTACAGATTTCGCAAATTTAACGGCTTCCTCTGACTTCTGCCTGCTCGATTCATCTTCGATTGTTAGAGATGTGACATCATTTACGGAGAACCATTTCGTTAGGACTTTTTGTGAGTTTGGATCTGGTCTTCTGTATTTTACCTTCAGTATGTGTCTTTAGAGTAAGCTTTGTACCAGTCTTTTTTGCTGCAGTCTTTTTGATTACTCTTACAAGAACTGTTWCTCCAGTATGGTAAATCGAAGGCGGGAATTTTTGCAAGTTTCTTTTTATCATAGTTTGCGCTGATTTCTYGGAAGCTTTTGAAGCTTTAGCTCTGATCAGTTCTTGAATATTCCTCCAATGCTCTATTTCTTCCAAAGTAGGCTCCTTAAAGTGCGTATCCTGTTCTAATGTCTCCTCCTCAATGYCTATATTCGTAGCAGCGTTGGCATTTAATGAGAGTCGGTTTTTTAAGCGGTTAGGGATACGGCCATAATAAATTTCAAAGGGGCACGCTAAGCAAAGAGAGCGATGGGGAGATTCATTGTACAGTTGTTGATATAAAGGTAATTTTTGTACCCAGTTCACACCTTCATCGTTACAATTCATCAGGTCAAAACGCAATTTCTCTTTCCATGTTCTATGAGAACGCTCGTCTTTGCCTTGTGTTGTAGGTGTGTAGGCGGAGCTGCGAATAAYTTTCACTCCCATTTCCTTACAGACATTTTCCACTGTCCCCTTGAACTCRRTCCCCTGGTCGCTTTGAAGGATTTCAGGTACACCATGATCATAATAAATACTTATGAGTTCACGTGCAACAACCAGAGATTCCTTGCTTTCGAGAGGGCGAAGGTGTAAGTACCTGCTAAAGATATCAATTACAGATAGAATATACTTGTAGGTTTTGCCCTCGGTCGTTAGCGGCAAATTACTCATGTCGACAAGGTCGACCTGGTTCCACTCCTGCACTTTCTTAGCGGTTATAGGGCAAAAGGGAGCCTTGTTTTTAAAGAGAGGTCTTAGTTTTTGTTTTTCTTTCATCTTGTTCAAAATTTTGTGCACATTCTTTTCTGCAACGCCAGAATAAATGTTCTGCATATTTCTTCGAATCTTCTTCGCCCCCTCTCCCTTCRTTTTTTCATAATACCTCTTAACCAGACTTTCGATTTCTKATTTCTTAAGCACTATTTTTCCTKAAACCCTCTCGACTATTTTAACRACATTGCCTTCACTTCTAGGATCATAAACTTCTTTCAACTYGTAATGACCGCTTTTCCACTTTCGGTAAACCTTTTGTCTCAGGGATAGATGTTCTTTCATTGGCCAATCAGAAAATCCCTGTTTCTTTAATTTTTTTCAGTTTGTCACATACTTTATCAGGAAGACTACTTCTTATTCCTTTCTTTCTAGACGCGGCCTGAAAATTTATACAAATATTTAGGATATAAGATATGCCAACGATATAATAAYCGATGATAATCATTGCATATGTAGCCGTAGCCCTGGCAAATTGCTGACTCACTCAGTCAGTAAGTCAGTCCGTTCATCCGTCTGTCAGTCAGTCAATTAACAACGTTAAAAATAAACTAGCTATAATCCATGTCTTAGTACTAGAGGTSAAATGTCTTKCTCTTAAAGAACATTGTTGTAGAATTGAATAAGCATACTGTTTACGGTCGTAGCTGACGTAAAAGTTTCTAAACAATACGTTAATATAAGCAAATATCTATCTTTCAGTTAAATTCAATACCATTTAATGCTATGACTTTTATTTTGAAATCATGCGTTTACAATGATGATAAGGCGGACGCATGTAATGAACATAAACAGTTCACAAAATGAGGCTAAAAATATGATACATATRAGATTCTTACCTTATTTTCCACAAAATCATCATCTGAATTTGATGCTTCGTTATCACTGACCGAGGCGGTAACAGCAAGAGTGCAGGAATAGCCTTTACGGCAAACGGCAATCGTCAGCTCATCAATTCTTTGTGAAGTGAAAAAGACTTGGCAAGTCCGAGTAGTAAATAAACAAAAGAATAATTGTCTTTGGTGAGAAGGTTTGCCAAAGTTAAAATGAAATGCAAGAAAGTGATGAAAACATGGTGATGTTTGTTATCGGCGATTCGGGGCAAATATGAATGAGTCATAACAACTCTATTCAGTCCAGGTTCCGCGATTTCCAGGGGATCATTTTTGCGGTGAYGTGGGGATCTTTTTTGCGCTGGGGATCATTTTTGCGACATTTTGGGATCATTTTTGCGGCAGGGATCATTTTTGCGTCGGGGATCATTTTTGCGGCCGTACATACCTGCTTTTAAATCTAAGTATAGGCTTGAGCTTTCAYGTGTTGTTAAGATAATTCCGTAGTTGTGCACTGAGCACAGTTTTGCGCATGCTTAAARAATTGTAGTTTTAGGGCTTTTATCACGAACTCTATTCAAATTGTTTTTGAAAAAGGCTTTCAATCAAAAATTCGAACAGTTAACTTACTCAGCGGTTTCCGATATCTCCACATCTGACAAGTCGACATCGGAATCGGGCGCACAGGCTTGTATGTCAGAATCCTTTGATTGCTTTGGTGCAAATAAAGACGAAATCTCTTGTTGGACGTTGTGGTCTTTTCATCGCGGTTTTGTTTSTTGGGMAAGACATAAAATGATCGTAAAATATCAAAACATGCAAAATTACATTGCGTTTGGTTTAAATCGATAATTTATAAACACTTGGTTACTTCWGAAGTTGCACTTACGATTTTTAAAAAAGGCTATACGGCCGGCTTGCCACGCATCTACGCGTAGTTGAACGARCTTACTGCAAAGACCACACTTCCATGACCATGTTTTTGATCTTAACTGTTTGGGGAGACCCTTCAACTAGCTAACTTTCTCCAAGGCCTTTCAGCTCTAAAGGGTTAATGTAATATTTATACTCATCGGCATTCTCATCCTCCTCATCATAATCATTATTGTTATGCTACTATTACTACTGTAATTATTWATGTTATTCTAATGTATAATCACGGTATTGTTTTACCTTCGTTCAATTTGGTTTGTTCCTCTTCTGTGAGGCTGACAGCATTATCTGGAAGGTTTAGTGGTGTAGTTGTTTTTGCAGTCCCGTTCTACGGTGGCCCATAAGTGCAAAACACAACACATACAGTGAAAACACAATACACATATCTGGAAACACAACACTCACAGTGAAAACACAATACACATATCTGGAAACACAACACACACAGTGAAAACACAATACACATACCTGGAAACACAACACACACAGTGAAAACGCAATCAATACATTCTGTTAGGCCCAGTGTAGGACTGGGTCTTAGTATTGATGACCATTGACCAGTATATATTGCGGACAATACATGTTCCAAATATGGCGGAGAGAGAAGTAATAACATATTACTTCTCAAAAGGTTATGATTATCAAACGATTCTTCTCTTTTTGGAAAGAGAACACGATATAAAAATATCGAAAAGAACACTTTTAAATCGATTGAAAGAATGTGGTTTCACAGGCGAGKATGGGACGAAGATGAAGACATAATTAAAGAATATATCAAAAGATAACTTGATGKTTCTGGGTCTCTTCTAAGTTACAGAGCAATGTGGCGAAAGTTGCATTCGAAGTATGGAATAAATGTGGCAAAATATACTGTTCAAGCTCTCTTAAAAGAACTCGATCCAGAAGGAACAGTACTAAGAAAAAATAAACGTCTCACAAGAAGAAAATATACCAACCCTGGCCCAAATTATTGTTGGCATTCAGACGGCTATGACAAACTTAAACCTTACGGTTTTCTAATTCAGGGATGTATTTTTAGTAGAAGAATACTTTGACTTAAAGTTACCAAAAGTAATAACGACCCTCGTATTATCGGAAGTTTCTTCCTAGAAAAAATCAAAGGAGTGGAAGGCTGTCCATCATTAGTGCGAACCGATAGGGGTACAGAGAATGAAATTATGGCTACCATCCAGTGTTTCCTAAGGAGAAATGATTCGGATTCATTGGCAGGATGAAGCGCTCATCGTTATGGGTCATCCCATATTAACCAACGTATCGAAGGATGGTGGTCTTTGCTCAGACGATCCTGGAGCACGTGGTGGATAGATTTCTTTAAAGATGTGATAGAAAAAGGAGAATTAGATACAAGTAATCTACTCCAAATGGAGTGCCTTTGGTTCTGCTTCCACCTGGTCATTCAAAATGAAATCAATCAAATGAAGGATGACTGGAATAATCACCAGATTCGTCCCTCAAAATACCAAACTTTGGCTGGTATCCCTGATAAACTCTATTTCTTGCCAGAAACTGTCGGAGCAGTAGATCACATACATCCTTTTGATTTACCAGATGTACAGGAAGCAGAGAATGAAATTCACTCCTATGATACAGATGCCGATGCAGACTCTGAATCAACATCTGAATCAGATGATTACTATTCTTACTTTGAATATGTACTGGAGCATTTTGGAATAAGTCCACCCACTGACTGGAAAGAGAGCTTGGAAGCTTATTTAAGAATTATACATGTTGCTAGTTAGATAGCCTGCATTTCAATTTTTTGGCACTGTTAAAGATAGGTCATTAATAAGTGGTATGGGAATCTTTTGGGGGGGGGGGGGAGGTGTCACAATTTTTTGAGTGCTTTTTTGGGTAGGTTTAGGGGTTTTAGAGCCACATTTTTGAGAGTTCCGAAAAATTCTAAGCTGCTTACTCTGCAAAAATATCTGCCCTCCCCCACTGGTCCCTGAAACAGAGGGACTTTAGAAAAAAATTCTGAATTCTGAAATATAAGGTTTTTWAAATATTAATCATTGTAATCTTTGAGAGAAAGAAAAGTAATGCTGTTGATGTCGTATTTACAATAYGAGTGACAATATAATTTATATTGCATGAAATATTCAGGCGTTGGCCTCTTACTGTTAATGAAACCCAGGCTAGGTTTCCAGGACAGGATTACCAGGGAACATTCATAGGAGTGAAATGGGGGGTTAGAATACACTAATTTCCAGTCAGTTTTTCCCCCAGATACCATATTTTCACTTTGTTTTTTCTCAAAACCTTTTCACACTACAAATATATCAGTTGACAGAAAGTACACTGTATCTAATGATCAAACTAGTCAAGCACCGCCTTTGAATTCAAAGAAAAAAGAACCTGGGTCAGTTGCATATGAAAAATATAAGATAGGTAGGCAATAWTGATGGCTCTACTAGACCTTTTCAGCACAATATTATTATTGAAACTACATTATAGTCCAGTGGCAATATATTTTCGACACATCATACATATGAGTAATACCTTTATTAAAAGATTTAAAAGATGTAATTTGATATAAAACTGATRAAATAAATCCAAATGCACTTTTTGTTTACATATAAATTTCATATAAGTAAGCATTAATGCACGGTAATTGTATTTCAACTTACACTTTCCATCTTAGACAAATTTGGAAAAGTAACTAAAACATGAACTGGAACTACATGTACAATTAAAAATGGGAATACAAAGTAAATTTAAATGTTTTGAAAAGGATATGTTGAATCAAAACCAACAAGTGTAAACAAATTATATTAAGTTGTATTAACTATAATGTTGCTTTAAAATGCTCTCAAGAGTCAATACTTATAGAATTAATCCGAATTAATACATGTCATTGAAACAACTTGAAGCTTGTTCCAGTGGATTCTGTTTTCAGATTTGTTCATAACACTCCAAATCCAGGACAATTCATCATACAAAAAGCAAATTCCTCAGAAAGTTTTGAATATTCTTGCATGCCTGCAACAGGTATTGTTAGGGTATTAGCACGTGTTGGCACTAAGTTTCCTATTTGAAACTGCATTGTGTGAGAACTTAATTGTAGGCCTTGGACAGAATCCAATGGCAGGGATATCATCAGCWCCASTGACAAACTGTAACACATGTTTCAGAGTGACAGTTATCTCTTTGTCCTCAACAGTCGTTTTAACATTTCCCTGCTCAACATCTTCAATGTACTGATTAAAATTAAAAGCAATCTTTTGCTCAACTGCATACTTGTTACTGTCTTTAGGACTGAACTCTGGACTAAACATTTCATCCACAAATTCAGCAGTCAGGTCCTTTTGCTTTCCAAAGGTTTTCCTGAAAAGCTCAGGATTGTCTCGAATAAGGCCCAGCATGTTGCAGGTCTTCAACCCTTCGATGTACTGGTTGGCTTCAGTAATGGATGACAGGAGGACATGGTGGAGTGCAACTGACTTACATAAATCATCTTTATCCTTGAGGTAAACGAAGGGCTTGCAAYACCCTGCATCAAATCTGTAATCACTGTTAAAGGTGGCTTGGTTCTTAAATTCTTCTTCATCTGTAATGYGTGTGAGGTTTTGTAGAGAATTCTTCACTTCACTGTTTGGTATGTCATCTACACTTGGAGTAAGGGTACTTATCTCCCCTGTTATAATGTATTCTACAACAGGCTTTGTGAAGCATTTTGGCCCAGGGAACTCTTGCAACAACCCCACCGCTGTCATTTCCCCRTAAAAATAAAATTCCTTTGCATTTACGGCAGTGATATTATGCYGAAAGGTTCCTTCATGCAATAACTTAGACTGGGCAGCAGAGTTGAAGAGAGAGAAAAACTCTCTCAAGGGTCCACCATGGTCGACGGCAGGTTCACCAATAAACTGCACTTTCAGTGGTTTGGTCAAATCCCCTGACTTCATCCGCTTCCTTTTAAAAAGTGCATCATCCCAGACAGCATTTCTCCTGATCTTCAAGCGTGTAAATTCACTACCGTGCAGTTCTTCCTTTTTCTTTTCAGTTAATAGGCCTTGAAGTGTGTGGTCTGATGAAAAAGTGCTAGCCATTTCATCTGGAATATGCATGTCATCATAGTTGTCATCATGATAAATGGTGGTATGATCATCAAAGATATCTGCATTCTCAAGCAAAGATGCATAGGCATCATTCAGAGACAGGTCAGTCTGATTTATTAGAAGGTTGGCAGCATCTTCCAAAGTAATAGAAGTCTCAATAGCTTCCTTTATCTCTGCTTCATCTCTTTTTGGAAACATATCTTTAAGTCTCCTGATGTCAATTTTAATCATGGAAGGTTTGTCACTGGTTTCAGTTGAATCATTGGTAAGGGTACCTAGTTGCTGGGGCTCTTTTGTAGTGGCTGATAGTGATCCCTGAGTATCCGACGTAGTACCTTTTACTACAGACACAAGTGGGCCAGTAGAGGTGGAAGAAGACTTTGAAGCAGAAGTTTTCTTAGACTTAGTATCACCAAGATCAGAATTATCAGACTCCGTCTCATCATGTTCATATAGCACTTCCCTCTCAATCAAATACAGAGAAATGCGGTTGTAAGGCTTCCCAATATCCTCCTTGTACTTGTCGAGCTGAAATAGCTGAGTTGGCTGGCCAGGCAGTGTAAGCACTTCTGTGCCATCAGGGTAAAGGAGTGCATAATTTTCGTAGGGCTGGAAATTCCTGTCATATGCAGCATGTTTCTCAATTCCTTTCTTAAGAAGCTCTTGCTTACGGATATCCGTTGGCACCCGAATTATCATAGCTTTTCCCTTAAGAAGCTTCAGTTCTCCTTTTACTAATTTCATAATCCCTACGTTGATCATAACTTCGTTAGGAATTTCAAGCTTTTGCTTCTTAGTTTTGTCCTGTTTATCCGGCTTCCCTTGCTTTTTCGAAGACACACTCTTTCGGAACTGTTCAAAGGTTTGTGGTATCTCGACCACTTTTGCCGCTGTCTCTCCCTCGGACTGGAGTACATTTCCACATTGATGACAGTATTTAAAAACACCGAGGACATCTGCTTCGCATTTTTTGCATTTCATGCTTCAAATAACGATCATAAGATCTTATTCATTCAAGCTTTTGAGAGTTGTTATATAAATTTCCAAGCACATGGGTCCTATTGTGTAGTCCGCAATATATACTGGTCAGTGGTCATCGATACTAAGACCCAGTCCTACACTGAGCCTAACAGAATATATTGTGTTTTCACTGTGTATGTTGTGTTTCCAGATATGTGTATTGTGTTTTCACTGTGGGTGTGTTGTGTTTCCAGATATGTGTATTGTATTTTCACTGTGTGTGTTGTGTTTCCAGATATGTGTATTGTGTTTTCACTGTGTGTGTTGTGTTTCCAGATAAGTCTATTGTGTTTTCACTGTATGTGTTGTGTTTTGCACTTATGGGCCACCGTACCATTCGCTTGTTTTATCTCCACAACAATTCTTTGGGAGCCGGATACAAAGGCAATGTCCATAGGATATACAATTACTACAAATTAAGTAAAAGTAATTCTTAAGATCCTATTGACACTATTAAACTTAACGTCCAAGTTCTTCTGACAGAATATATGAAAGATGAGAAAATAGATAAGTAAAGAATGACTTGTAAAAACAGGAGGAAAGAGAGGAAGAATTTAGAAAGGAAAGAGAGAAAGAAAGAAAGAAAGCCGTGCAGTCCGTGAAGAAAGTAGAAAAAAGAAAGAAAGGAGGAATGAWAGAAAGATTGGATGAATGAAAGAAAAGAAAAACGAATGAAAGAAATATAGAAGAATAGAAACAAGCAAACGAAAAGGATACAAAATACAAGGCAACAATACCAACCATAAAATGAAACAAAATTAAAATATTGAATGAAATAAAAATTTTTACCAAATATTCAACTGTTTATTAAGNAAATCCCCTGACTTCATCCGCTTCCTTTTAAAAAGTGCATCATCCCAGACAGCATTTCTCCTGATCTTCAAGCGTGTAAATTCACTACCGTGCAGCTTAAAGGACGTAGAACGTCGCTACTCGCAGACAGAAAGAGAGGCCTTAGCAATTGTATGGGCTTGCGAGAGGTTCAATGTACTTATTAGGAATAGACTTTGAACTGCTAACAGATCATAAGCCCCTGGAATACATTTATTCCGAAAGGTCAAAGCCTTCTGCCAGAGTAGAGAGGTGGGTTCTCAGGTTACGACCCTACCATTTTACAGTTAAGTACATTCCTGGGCCCAACAACATAGCAGATGCCCTGTCCCGCCTTACAAAGGACGCTTCAATGAACAAGAGGAACAAGACGGAAGAGTATGTTTGTTTCGTAGCAGCTAATGCAACTCCAGCAGCCATAAGCATGGAAGAAATTAAGAAGGAATCTGCAGAAGACAAAGAATTAAAAGAGCTGCGAAAATGCATTCTCTCGGATGCATGGGAGACCTGCCCTGCAGCTTACAAGTCTGTCAGACATGAACTCTGTGTTTGTGGACACTTGATATTGAGAGGAACCAGACTAGTCATCCCAGCGAAATTGTGGATGCAAGTTGTAGAGCTAGGCCATGAGGGACACCAAGGGACAGTAAAGACGCTTAAGGTCCAAAGTATGGTGACTCGGACTTGACAAAGATGCGGAATCAAAGTGCAAGACATGCTATGAATGCCAACTAGTCAGTTTACCAAGTCCACCAGAACCTGTCAAGACCATAAAGCTGCCGACCGAACCGTGGCAGGATGTTGCAGCCGACCTGTTAGGTCCAATGCGAACAGGGGAACACTTGTTAGTTGTTGTAGACTATTTTACTCGTTTCTATGAAGTTGTGATTATGAACTCTGTTACAGCTAACAGTATTATCAAAGCACTGGAACCTATCTTCGCCGGATATGGTTATCCGCTGTCTATCAAAACTGATAATGGGCCCCAGTTTGTGGCAGAAACGTTTGAAACCTACTTAAAGCAGAATAGTATAGAGCACAGGAGGTCGACACCTTACTGGCCTCAAGCAAACGGGGAAGTGGAAAGACAAAACAGAAGCCTGCTGAAAGCTATGAAGATTGCCAAGTCTCAAGGAAAGGACTGGAGACAAGAAATCAACGCCTATCTGTTAGCGTATAGGACAACGCCTCACTCGACAACCGGAACGAGTCCAGCGGAGCTGATGTTTGGGAGGAACATTCATTCAAAGATTCCCGATATTCGTCGCTACAATAGCGAAACATACCAGGAAGTAAGAGATAAGGATGCTGAAATGAAGCAGAAGAATAAAGATTACGTTGATGTGAAGAGGCATGCTAAGGAAAGTAGCATTAAAGTCGGAGACAAGATCCTCCTGGAGCAGACAAAACAGAATAAGTTAAGCACTAACTATGAACCTGTGCCATATGAAGTCAATGGAAAATTTGGAAACCAAGTTCTTGTCAAGTCTCAGGATGGAGTTGAACACAAGCGCAACACATCACAAATGAAGCTCCTAAAGGAAGAGACAAAGGAGGTAAAGCCGGAGCTGGAAGTACCAGAACTGGCCATAGAGAAAGCAACGCACACTGCAACTCCAGAGAATGAAGGAACTACAGTACAACAGAGGCTGAAAAGAGACCGGCGACCACCAGCATACCTCAAGGACCATGTGCTAGGACAGTGACATTAGTCAATTTGACATTTGTTGTTGAATCAGTTGTTGTTAATTAGTTTTCCCAAAAGGGGAGGGAATGTAGTGTCTGGGATACCTGTGGTTAATATTATCATGTTGGGATCCCTGTGTGTAAAAAGAGAGGACCGCCATTTGAAAGCACGTTGGGACAACGTTCTCTGTGTGTTAGTAGTCTCTGACTAAATCCGGTTCGATCCGAGTAGAAATACAACAGACATCACCACATACTGTTCCCTGACAACATACAAAACTTTGGAGGAAATCCAAGCGCTTCAATCAGGCCATTCAAATCTTTCTTCGCAAATCGCAGTTCTGTTTGACATTCAGCATCATCCCAATCATCCATATCAAACCTACCAAATTTCCAATAAGGAAATACTTCTCTAGAGGAATTGGCATCGTAGAGAAGAGCAAATTCATACTCGTCGATAATGTTTTGGTCGAAAGCAAGCAAAAGGGCTTCTCTGACAACCTGAAGTCCGTAGTTGTACTGTACTGTAGTTGCTTTGACTTTTATAGGAGTGTTTTTATTTTTTTGAGAATAAACCACGACAAAAACAAACCGACGCCATTTTGATTTTCTCTTGTATCCGTCACGTCTTCGTCAAGCTAGCTAAATCACGTATACTCACGCAGTCTTGCCGTCCTAGAACCAGTCCATACCGCGCGCCGTCACGTCGTCTTCGGCGTCGCCGTCCCGATGCTAAATCAGTCTATTGTGTTTTTGTCTCAACTTTTGCTTTTGTTTCAATTTTGTCACTCTCACAAGTCGCAATCCTTTAACTGAGACAAGGGAAGTTGGAACAATGGTAAAAGTGAGGACAACATGCTCAAATACAAAATGCCGGAAGGACTACACATGGAAAAGCCAACAAAACTTCCCAGGAACATGAATTGTTGCTGTAAATCTATTGTTGTGTTTTGGTATTCTTTTGGCTGGAGGTTCTCTTACGATATGCTCCGCAATATGGGATAATTATGCAGATTTTTTTCCTGCCTACTGGTCAGCGGTCACGTAAAAAAAAAAAGTATTGAAATGCAAATTAGTAGTATAAAACACCGAGCATATGCTCTGTTGACCTACGATGGCCGAGAAGGGACTTCAGACTTCAGACTTCAGATATCAGACTTCAGAGATAATTCTATTTCCATGTGCTTCACAAACCCAGGCTCCGGCCTTGCTTTAGCATTTCAAGATGGACGAAGAGGTAAGGGGTAAGGGGATGTTTTCATAATCAATCTTTTCTCTGGTACATGGTTTCTAAGAAATTTTCTTCAGAGATGGTGGTTCTTAATTAGATTAACATCTCCTTGGGTTTGCGAAGCAAAAATTAATGCGAAAGCCTAGTACTAAGAGAGAAATAATGCGCATTATTTACTTTGATTCAATATCACTTTGGACCTTAAAGAATACCCGTTAACTATATAACTTCATATGGAGGCATCTTTTGATCACGTCGCATTATTAGCACAAATATATAGTTTCTTTTGCTATTTAAAATCAAGCGGCCAGTTCTATAATAGTACTGATTTGTTCTATACATTTTCAGTAGGACAGGTAACAATGTGGAAGTTAATCTATGCCGTTTAAATTTCAGTTTGCCAAACTTCTCGAAGAGTGCCAGTTGACAAATTTGAATGAAATTTGAATGAAGCACAAGGTACATTATTACAATACCATTCTAATGCACCAGTCAATTGTAATCCCAACCTCAGGAAAGTGAGGCATATTCAATCATGCCATATTAAAAGTAGCTGTATTTATCATATTGTATTGAAAGATGCCCCATCTTCTGGGGAACATCTATTGTCTTCAACATGCAGTATTAAGCAAAGTTACTATATTGACAATGGATTTTGGCAATTAGCTTACATGCTCAGCCAGTGAGTCTTGAATGCACTTTCGGAATCAGACGTCAATCCCGTTATCTAGGTTAATTTTTGCTTCAATTCCGGTCATTTACTAACTGCCAGTCTTCATGGCATGTCATATTTTACGTTACTTTCACATTATCAGTAACCTTCTCTCCCTCGCTCCACCCATATTTCAGTCGGATTTCAATAAAATTCGTTTACACTCTAGTCATGGGCTCATAACTTGCTTTACACTCACAATCTTCCTTACATTACTTAGTTTATATCTCAAGTGTTGTGTCACTCCAGCAATAAACATTGCGAAATTACAAAGAGTCCATAATTCAGCAGCTGGGCTTATATATAGAATACCTAGATACTCTCATATTACGCCAGTTTTAAACTTTTTGCATTGGTTACCGGTTAAATTTAGGATAGATAGATTTTATCTTATTTACTTTTAAAGCAAATTAATGGGCTTGCCCCAAGATATATATGTGAACTGGTTAGCATTAAGGATAACAATTCTTATAATCTTAGATCTTCTAAAGGTTTGCTTTTGCAGCCGCCAAGCTTTTTGACCAAAAAGACACTAGGAGACCGTGCTTTTTCGGCGGCTGCTCCGAAGTTATGGAACAAGAGATACTTAATGAGAGACATTTTAATAGATTCAAGACGTTGTTAAAGACCCACCTTTTTAGRCTAGCTCTTAATTAGATTTCCTTTTACCTAATATTTACAAATTAGTTTCCCATTTGTTTTAAAGTGCAACTGAACCCAAAATATTCGCATTGGTTATCAAAAGATATTGAATTTATAATAAACATAGTGTTATTTTTTTTCAAATTGGGTAAAAGCTCGATTTANAGCTCTTCGAAACAGGTGTCTCCTCGTCCACGAATAACTTTTATCAGGAAGAACTTTATTTTTCAAGTAGTAATAACTACATCTGAACAATTCCAATGAAATAAATTTATGTTAAAATCTAATATAGATTATAATTGTCCGAGTTGAGCAAGCAATAGTTGATTGTACTATTAATATGTCTAACTTCGAATATTTTATTACTTTGAAAGGGAAAATCTAGCACAGCCGAACTTCAAATTCAATGGCCATTTGCAGTTACTTAGAACAGATATTAATGAGTAAAATATCAAAATTTTATGCTTATCTCTGTTGATCTGACCTTATATTTGACTAAATTGTAAACATGACCTACATCAATTTGTTTCAACAGTAAGTAATCAGGTTGACCTCCTTCTGAACATCACTGCGGAACTCACATTCTCTGCAGTCAGCGGTCGGCWGTTTAYGATTTCCTCAGCTTCCACCATCAATGTCCTCAGCAACTCGTCGTCAAATTGGCTACCTTGCTTCTTGAGGATGGCATTCAAGATGCTGCAGACTGTTCTGATCTGTCGTTCCCACACGCTGTCCATGTGGCTTGCGTGAGGAACGTTGGTCTTGAAGGTCACCCAATCATATTCGTCCTTGAGGAGTTCGGTATGAACTTTGCGGTTGTCCATCTCTGCGAGTGCCTTCTGTAACTTGTTCTTCGCTGCGATGAAATTGGTGCCTTGAGCAGATCTCAGCTGCCTTATCGGACCTCGACGTCCAACAAATCTGCGGTATGCATTAAAGAATGTATCTGTGTCAAGGTTGTTACTTACTTCGATGTGAATCGCGCGTGACGCCATACACTTAAAGAGCGCGCCGTATCGTTTAAGCTAACGACGTCCTTCTTGGACGATGAATGGACCTAAGTAGCCAACGGCGGCGTACGTGAACGGTGGTGCAGGTTCCAGTCTGTCTTTGGGGAGATCTGCCATCTTCTGGGTTTTAGTGGTGCTCCGTAGCTTGTGGCAGGTGACACAGTAAATATTAACTACAATGTTGAATATGATTTTAACAGTTATATTTCTATTTACAATTTACAATTGTTTACTCTTCGACTAGACGACAGTACAGATCTCTCTTAGACTGTTCTAAACTATTATAACTCTTTCTCCACTCTTCAGCAGTGTTCTCCCACTTCTCTATCTCCTCTCTCCACTGATCTACTGACTTAGCATGGCCTTTCTTTACGTGTAAAATTTTATATCATTCATCTAGATCTTTCCTTGCGCTACCTCTCATAGTTCTATACGAATGATATCGAGGTATCCACATAGTTGGGGTGTCCACTTCTTGACAAACGGCTGCTACGATTGGCTTGAAAATTTCTTAAAGGCTTGATCCAGAAATAAACGCATTTATTCACGGCTAGATCTATGTAAATCGATGTCCAGTGTTTTCCTGGTGTGACGGAGGAGCTGTTTTAGCTTTTTATGTGGCTAGACATATATTCTTCCGGCATCAAGAGAACATCATTCAGTAGTAGCGCAGATGTTTTGCTACTTTTCTTGCGTAGAATTTCCGCAATACCATTCGTAATGCTGTAGTGAAGGCATCCCGAACCTGCAATTGTAGAAAGGGATCCAATATAAACGATTAAAAAGCTCAACTGATGAGCTCCTCGGCTCGGCATCTAAAATAGCCCTAGCTGCCCTTTTTGTAACCTTAAATTTCTCAGAAGTGATTCGTTTGAAATTAACATTTGCCAAGCCTCAGTTGCATAATTAAACATAGGCTTAATCAAAGCGTTATAAAATGAAAGTCTTTGGTTTAACGGTAAACAGAGTTTGATGTTCTTGCACAGCCTATCGATGTAAGTGTTAAATGATAAATCATGGTCAATGTGAAGGCCAAGAAGTTTAGCAGACGACACTTGCTCCAACATTACGCCACTACTTGTTTTCAGAGATAGTTTATAGCTATTGGGTAGTTTCTTTTGTGACAAGTCAATTGAATTTCAATTTTATTCTAATTAGACTAATTCTGTATAAGAATTGCAACTGGTATTGATTTGCTTTGCAAATTGGTAGTTAATGTTTCACGAGTTTAAAAAAATAATGCTTAGTACCATGCTGTTATTTTATATTTCTTTTATAAGTCTCTCCAATTCTATCTTTCTTTCTTCCAAAGCTATTTTTTCTTTCCTCTAGTTGGATTTTTTTGTTTTACGACCATTGTATCTTTATGTTTAATAGAAAGATAATCCATCAACTGATTCTTTCCACCTCTTGCAGTTCTTGTCC